CATGCACCCCAGTGAAGCTAGATGTTCAGGCAACATCCCTCCCACCCCACAGATACCTCCCTGCTTCCAGGGTTCCCCCACTCCACCCTACGAGCCCCCCTGGGAACACAGGTTTCCAGGTCCCACTTAATATGCATCCGGGGAACTTGGGCTCTTCTGCAAGGGGACACTTGAGGTCCACCTCTTGCTGGCCAGGGGCCTCAGGGAGGTCTGGGCTGTACAAGAGCACTGGGGGCTCATGTGTTGGGAACCTTGATCTGTGCACCAGGGGTCTGCCTCATGTTCCCCTTGGTCCCTCTAGAGGTCCCCAAGCCCCTTCAACTCCTCTAAACATCCCCAAAACACCTCAATGACCCACTAAACCCTCTGTCCCTATTCAAAACTGTATTCTCGCCCAGAGCCCCTCAAACCATACCAACAAACTCTGAAATCCCCAGCCTTCCCAGAGACTCCCAAGCCCACTCAACCCCTCCACCTCCCCAAGACAGCCTCCAAATGCCCACTCCTCGCTTCAAAATCTCAGGACCTCACAAATATGCCCTAAAAGCCCCCAATCTTCCCTCCAGAGTCCCTCAAGCCCCAGGACTTCCCAGCCCCAAACAGTCTCAAAGATTCCCCAAACTCAGCCCAAGCTCTCAGAGACACCCAGAGCCCTGGAACCCCTAAGGCCAGCTCCTCCCAGAGCATTCCACAGAAGCCCAGTCCCCCTGCCGAGATACCCAGTCCCCAGGACGCTCCAAAAGACTTCTCAAAGCCCTCCAAATATTTTTCTGGATTCCCCCAAGCCCCTCTATCATCACAGACACCCCTCCATGCACACACTAAAACTCCTCCAAACCCCCCGACTAAGAGCACCCAGCTCCCCTGTGCACCTCTGATACCCTGCATACTCCAAGGCCACCTCAGTGTCCTCCATGCAGCCCACAAGCCTTTACGATTTCTTTATGTACCCATCCAGAGTCCTGGATGGTCCCCAAAAGTCCCCAGATGCCCTGAGAAGCTGCAATGCCCCCCCCACATCCTAGGCCCTCAATTCCCACCAAAGCCCCCAAGATCTCACTGGCACCCCAAGATCACCCAGAACCTTCCATTATTTCAATGTATCCTCACAAGACCTCCCGTAGTATCTCCTAACTCTGCATGTAATACAGCCCTTCCAGGTCACCAACCTATTCAGGAAGCCAAGACCTACCTACAACCCTAGGAACCCTTAAAGCACATGGATTCTGTCAAAGAGCCTTCCAGATCCTCCAGTCTCCCAGGACTATTCTGCTACCCCAAGTTTCCCCAAAGTCTCCAAGACCTCACAGGACCCCCAGTCTGCCCAGACCTCACAAGATCCCCCAAGCCCTCATGTACCCAAAACCCCCAGGATCCCCCAATCTTCCCCATCTACCCCAAAACTTTGGCATGCCCAGGACTCTCCATTTTGCTCCCAAACACCCCAAACTCCCTCAGAATCCTCCAAGTACCCCAACATGCCTCAGAATCTTGAGATCCTGCCTCAATGCACCCTGAGACTCTCAGGTCCCCTCCAGTTTCCCCAGGCCCCCTTAGGACAGACACCTTATGCACCTGAGGACACAGGTACTGTGAGTTCCTGGCTCCTTTCCCTGTGAACCCAGGCATCTGGGACCCCTGAAACTCTATCCTCTCCCAGTGGTGGAATCCAGGCATCCGGGACACACCCCAGCTCCCAGTGGTGGGAGTATCCCACTTCTACCCACTTGAAATCCACCCAGCTAAAAAGGGCAAGCTCAGCTTTACCATCTCCCACAAAGGGAACCCAGGTGCCTGGTGGGACTCCTGCCTCATCATCCACACTGTCACCAGAGGGCACTGAGGAATACAAGAGCCTCCATTCCAGCCCCTCCCTCCACAAGGGATGTGTTTGTCCAAGATCTGCTCTTTAATCACTGTCATCCTCCCTGGGAGCCTGGTGTCCTGAATCCCCTGTGCCACCCTCAGAAACCTCCTCCCAGCCCAAAGAGCACAGACATCCAGCAGCCCCAATCCCCTCTGCCAACCACTCGGCAGGGGACCCAGAAACCCAGGCAGTCCTGATCCCCTTGCCCCCTGCCCGTCCAGGACACTCAGACATCTAGTGCCCTCCTGCTCTCGTTTTGGTCCTTGCGAGGAGCATCTGATCTGGACACCTGTGTCCCTTAGCAGTAAAAAAAAGATCCAGCTAGGCAATTCATGAGCCACTTTTATTCATTCCAAGTGTCTGGGGAAACTCGGGGCTCCCCAGCTCCCAGGAAAGGGCTTGAGCAGGGAGTGGGAACCTCATGAATATCCCTGAAGGCACTGGGTTGCAATGGTGCGGGGTGTCCACGCTCCATGGTGTCCCACAGTCTGGGAAAAAGAGCTAAGGAGGAACCCCTTAGTGTTCCAAGGACATCAGATGAACCATGGGGGTCCCTCAAGTGCTAAGCAAGTATCTCTGGGGGACTCTTGCCCCATGGAAGTGCCCATGGGTTCTTTTTAGGGTCCCTCCCCAACAGTGGGGGGATACTAGGCATCCTGGGGGACACTGAGTGGCAAAAAGAGGTCTCTCTGCCCCATAGGAGTGCCCAAAGGTGCTGCAGAGGTGGAGCAATATTGTTGGAGGGGTTCTATAGGGACTCCCAGAGGAAGGTAGCCTAGAAATCCCTCAAGTAACGGAGGGGGTGCACCAGATGTCACAATGGTACCCTACTTCTGAGGAAGGGTTCTGGGGCCTTTTGCCCCACTGGGTTGCTCATGGATGCTACAGGGGGACCCCAGTATGTGTTAAGGAGTTTTTTAGGTCCCCCTAAATATTTTGGGGGTCACCAGATGATCTCGATGGGTCCCCCAGAGGGTCAGGGCCACGCAAGGCAGGGGGTACAGTGAGGACACAGGCCTGGAAGTCAGTATAGGCATGGGGCAAGGTGCCTCGGGTGATCCAGCGCCTGCTGCCTGGCTGGTAGGCATGGATCAAGTGGGTGTCCTGGTATGTCTCATGACTGTAGCCTCCAAGTATGACCAGCTCCCCTCCGAGAACAGCCGCGCCCCCTGCTACATGGGCATGGGGCAGGGGGCTGAGAAGAACCCAGGAATCTAGGCTGGGGCTGTAAACCTCAAAGGCCAGCTGGTCACTGTAGCCTGTCTGCCCATCTCGCTGGAACAGCCCCCCAGCCACATAGAGCTGCCCACCTGCCTCCTCCATGATGTGGCCAGCTCGCTCACCATTCATGGGGGCCAGGAGCATGGCAGGTGCATCTGGGGCATAGCGCAGCAGGGATGCCTGGCACCGGCATGTCTTGTCACACCCACCCGACACATAGAGGGCACCATCCAGGGCACAGGCCGCATGCCCACACAGAGCCACTGGCAGTGGCTGGCACCTCCTGGGCAAGGAGAGAAGGAGAGATGGGGGGAGGGGCAGGTTAAGCAGGACTGCCCCATCATAACTGCCTGCCCAAGATATCCCCAGCAAGCAGTGCTAGCCATGGAGCCATCAAATGATCAATGAGCAATGTTAGCCAACAGCTAATGGACCCCCAGTGCACAACACTAGCTAATACATAATGGATCCCAAAAAAGCATCGTTGTCTAACCACTGGTCAACCCACAATAGACTCCCCCAAAGGGCAACATTGGTCAACATGCAGTGGACCCTCTACGAGCAACACTGGCCAGGACCCAGTGGGCATCGCTGGTAGAAGTTCAAATGATTCTGCCCATTGGCAGACAACCAAGAGATTTCCAGCAAATACCACTGGCCAGAAACTCATTCATGACCCAGTGGACATCACTGGCCAACACCCAATGATTCTCAAAGGACACAGTCAGTCAAAACCCAAGGGATCGGCCCCAAAGGCTGCTGTTAGACAACCCATTACCCATTCTCCATCGGAGGGATAACGTTGGCCAGTGACCCAAAGATCACTCAGTGGGCACCACTGGCCAACTCGAGGGGCTGCTAGGGCAGGGGAAGGCAGGTGTCTGTGTGGAAAGGCCTCACCTCCAGGTGTTAGTGGCCAGGTCATAGCACTCCACAGTGTCCATGCAGTAGAGTTCATCTGAGCTGCCCCCTAGGGCATATATGAAACCTCCAAGTGCCACAGCAGCAAAGTAGCTCCTCCCACAGGCCATGCTGGCCAGGTGCTCCCAGGAGTCTTCCATGGGCTGATATCTGGGGTTCAGACATAAAGCGAGGGAGAGATCAGCCATTATTCACAACACCAGGACATGATATTAAAATTGCTGTGGGCAACATCCCACCCACAGACAGCCAAAGATATAATGTCCTGAGGCCTCTAGGTGGGAACCTTCCTGCCCCACCCTTAATTAATCCCATACTGTCCTAGAGTAGATGAGCACCAGTAGGACAGCAACTTCCCAATCTACACCCAACCAGTCTCAGAACGCCCTGGGGCTGCTTGATCAATGGCAATCTCACAATGTCTTGGGCCCATGTGGAATCTCTAGGTCTCCCAACACCTCTCTTGAATCTACAATGTCTTGGTGCTACATGGTACCTCTAGGTCCTCCATGGCCCTCACCTGTAGACACTAGCCAGGGTGTCACGGACCCCGTAGTAGCGCTTCCCACCCAGGATGTAGAGAACGTTGCCAATCACAGCTACAGCATGGCGGAAGCGTGGGCCATCGGGAAAGTCTCCCAGAGCCCGCCACTCCACCTGCTTCACCAGCCCCACAGCACTGAGGTAGCGGTGGGCAAACCAGAGGTGCTTGCTGGGCTTCCGGGCAGCCGTGTCGGTTGTCAGTGTGTCCCCGCCGCAGACCACCAGTACCTCCGGCCATGAACGCACCCGGCATGGCAGATGGGCCATGGGGGCCAAACTTGCAACCACAAGCTGCTGGAGAAGCCCTGGGTTAGCTGCTCCTGCGGCCACTGATAGGACCTTCTTCAGCTCCTGACCAGACATGAGAGCAAAACGAACAGAGGACAGGACCTCCTCAGCTTGGTTGCCTTGTCCACCTCCATTGGCCACAAGCCACTGGGATGCTGCTTCCAAGGCCTCTAGTTCATGGAGGACATTGAGGGCATCAGAGCGAAGGAGGCGGATGAGGAGGTGTGCAGGAAGGTCCAGGAAGGCCGGTGTGGCCACCACGCTGGGGAAGGTGGCCAAAATGTAGTCCTCAGCTATACGGCCTACATGGGCCAGCCCATAAGCCACAGCAAAGGCCAGCACATCTAGGCCAGTCTCTGGGGTCAGGCAACGGGTGAAAACATCCAGGCAGAGGGTGAGGAGCCCCCAGGCCTGGTAGCGCAGGGATGTCTCGGCTGCCTCCAGGACTGTGGGCCATGGCCCTGCCACAGCCCCTGTGTAGGCGAAAGAGAGGAGGAGGTGCAGCTCGGCTGGGGACAGCCTTGTGGTCAGTGGGGTTGCAGGATCGTGGGCTGCCTCCCGCATGGGGCAAGTGAAGAGGGCCCGGAAGAAGTCACAGGAGCAGCTCAGGGCCAGGCGCTGAACTAAGGGGAAGGGAGGAAACAGTGTCAGGGCAGCAAGGGATCCAGGTATCCTGCCTGGCACCACCCTTTGTTCCTCACAGTTGCCCCTTGGGAACATTCTCCATCCTCAAGACCCACCCCCCCCACACACACACACACAAGGGGACCAGTCCTCTGGCTACCTTCAGCTCAACATCCAAGGTTTCACCTGGAAGCAATCATTGGGGATTCCCAGCATTAATGCCCCCAGCCCCCAGCATCCCCACCAAGGGACCCAGGTGTTCAGGTATACCCTATCCGCCCACTCCCTTCAGCACCCTCACAGGAGACCCAGGCACCCAGCTCACCTGGAATGACCTCATCTCCTGCCTGGAGTTGGAGATCACAGCCCAAGCCTCTGGTGTGGAGTTGCCCCATGGACCTTAGCGTCGTCCACTGCTCCTCAAGGGGCTCAGGAGTTGGCTGAGGGTTACCCTCCAGCTGTGTGGCACAGGCAGCCAACACCCGGGGGGCCCCCAGAGCCTGGGCAGCCTCTTCCACCTCCTTCTCCTTGCCATGGGGCAGGGCTCCCCCATAGGCAAAGGCCAGCACAGCCTGCCAGCCCCAAGGCGTGGTCCCTGGTGGCAGGGGGATGTGGGGCAGGGAGCCATGGGGCAGCTCTCTGGTCTTGCCCTCCAGGAAAGAGAGGAAATAGGAGCTGACAGAGGCCAGGACCACAGCATGGGCCACATCACCATCTGGGCCCACAGCCACATCCACCAGCTGTCCCGTGGTGCGGAGATGGTCAGCCATGGCCAGGAAGCGTCCAGCATGGGCCCGATCCCAAAGGTGCCACTGGTTTGGGGCTGGCCCCTCTGCAACCCACATCTTGCCTGTGGGAACACATTGAGGGGGTCAGGGTACCATTCCTATAGCCAAAGCCTCTGCTCCATAGCAGAAGTCATGGCTGGCAACACTGGGTCCTGCTGCTGGCACTGCTCCATAGCAAAAACCATTGGATCCATCACCACAGTCTCTACCCCACAGCTGAGGTCACTAGGACCTGCCACTGCCCTACAGCTGTCTGATGTACACTGCCAAAGCCTTTGCCCCATAGCTGAACCTTCTGCGCCGTAGCCAAGGTACTACACCACAGCTGAAACCACTGATGCATAGCCAAAGTCTCTGCTCCACAGCTGAAGCTGCTGCCCCAACTAAAAGTCACAGCCCCACAGCTGAGCTCAGTGTCCACCCCATCAAAGCCTCTGCCAAAGGTAGAGAGGCTTCTACCAAAGCTGCTACCAAAGCTGAAGCACAAAGCCCTGCCCCCAACCATTGCTCCATAGTCAAAAATCACTGGTGGTATGCCACAGGCAAAGCCCCCCCATAGCTCAGGCCACCAGATCCTCCCAGAGCCCAGCTCCAGAAGTCCATCCACTGTTCCACAGTGAAGCCACCTGCTCCACTCACCCTGTTTCAGCCCCACCACCACCCTCCTGTGGGCCAGGTGTGCCATATTGTGGGTGTCATGTGGGTGCATGTGCAGTCAGTGTGGGAGCTGTGTTGTGTGCTGTCTCTTCTATGCTGTGCTGACTGCTGCATATTGAGGGGGCTGTGTTTGTTCTGGTGTCTGTAGTTTGTTAATGTGGGTTTCTTGTGCTGCAGGCAGTTTGTGTTATGTGGTTGTATGAGTGGTCAGGGTGTTGCTCTTTGTGGTGTGCGTTGTGTTGTGTATTTCAGTGTGTCAATCAATCTCCTGTTCGTTGCATTGTCTGGGCTGTACATTTCATGTTGCAGAGTGAACCTTATGCTTTTTCTCCTGCTGTGGTATAGGTCTTGGTGTGTGCATTTGCTGTGTGTGTAGTATTTTGTGGTTGTGTGTCAGTCAGAGTTTTGTCTTGTGTTGATTGCTGTGATGTATCCTGAGTGTTGGGCTGACTACTGCATTGCATTGACTGTGTTGTGGTACCTATGTTTTGTTGTGTATGCTGTACCTTATGTTATTTCATCTGTTTTGTTATAGGCAGACTGTATGTGTGTGTGTGTGTGTGTGCATGCATGTTGCTCTTTGTGTGTGCAGTCAGGGTGAGAGCTGTGCTCTCTTTGCATGTTATGTTGTGTTTTGTGTTGTTTTTCCTGTCATGTTATGTGTACCTTTCAACTGTGCGTTGTGTAGGTGTGGCAAGATTGCATGTGTGTTGTGCTGACATTGGCTGTTGTGTGCGTTGGTGGTCATGTTGCCTGATGTACACGGGGCTCTCAAAATTGTGTTATTGTTTCTTGTACTGCCTGTTGAATTGTTTTGTGGGCAGTCTTTTGTGGCAGTGTGGGATGTTGCAAGTTGTGTTACATATTATGTTATGTTACATTGACTGTTGTCTTGCATCTTGTGTATTGAGTTGTGGGTTCTCTATTTTATTGTGCAGTGTTGCTTACTGTGCATTTCTTCTTGAACACTGCATATTATGATGTATCGCACTGCGTGTTGTATTTATTTTATTGCATTGCAAGTTGTGTGTCCTCTTGCATTGTTTATTGCATTCTGTAGTGTCAGACCTTCTGTGTGGCATGTTGTGTTACACTGTTGCATTGTGTGTTGTGTTGTCTCCTCTGTTATATCATATGGTGTGTTATATTACAGTATGTATTGTTTGTTGTGTTGCACGGTGTCAAGTAATGTGTCTTTTCTTGTGTTTTTTTTCTTTATCACATTGCATGTTGCATTTTATGTATTGTATGTTGTGTCCTGCATTGTGGTATTGCGTGTTGGTTATTCTGTTACACTGTGTGTTGTGTTGCTGTGTTACTTCTTATGTTGTGCTGTGCCTTCCTGTGTGTCACTCTGTGTGTTGTCTTGTGTGTTGTTGGTTGTGTCACCTGCTGCACTGCATTGTGTGCCATGCTGTGTGGCATGTTGTGCTGCATTGTTTGCTATGTTGTATGTCGCGCGGTGTGTTGTGTTATGCGTTCTGTTCCCCCTTACCGCCTGTCCCAGCTCCTGGAAGCTCCCATGACCCCCAGGGAATGTGTCTGGGTAATTATAGCCTCACTTGGACATGTGACCCTGGCGCGTGGGTGCTGAGACAGGCCCAGGACAGAGGGAGGGCTCAGGGCCTTGGTTACCTCATGACGGGAGTGGGTTGGACACTTGGGTTTCCTGAGGACAGGGAAATTGCAGGGGGAGAGAGCAAAGGAAGCTGCCTGAATTTTCCCTCCTCTTAGGCAGCAAGAGTGCAGACAGGGAGCAGAGGACCATAAACCCTGGGCTGGCCTGGGCATAGTGTTCTGGGCAGGTCCTGTTGGGGGTCTTCAGCCCATTAGACCTCCCAGACCTGGCTCACAGTTCTGGAGTCCTTCCACCAGAGCCCAGGGTGAACCAGCATACCCAATATAGCGTTTGGGATGACGAGCAGCAAGACTCCACCACTATCACAGCCATGCTGGCCCAGTCCCTCCCCACAGCCTGTTGTACTCCTGAGCCCCAGGGCCCAGCTGTACTGACCCCAGCACCAAAGAGCCTGGGGCCCCTTAGCCCTCAAGCTGGGGAGTGAGAAGAGAAGACTGAGAGGCGATTTCATCAATGTCTACAAGTATCTGAAGGGGGGAGGTGTCGAGAGGATGAGGCCAGTCTTTTCTGCGTGGTGCCCAATGACAGAACAAGAGGCAATGGGTAGAAACTGAAACACAAGAAGTGCCACCTGAACCTGAGGAAAAACTTCTTGACTGTGAGGGTGACTGAACACTGGAACAGGTTGCCCAGAGAGGTAGTGGAGTCTCCTTCCCTGGAGATATTCAAAACCCATCTGGATGTGATCCTGGGCAATATGCTCTAGAGGACCCTACTTGAGCAGGGAGATTGGACTAGATGATCTCCAGAGGTCCCTTCCAACCTCAACCATTCTGTGATTCTGCCATTCTGTGATCCTGTGAGCGTGTGGGGACACCAGCCTCTTGGGCCACCCTGACCCCTGAATGCATAGGCCAGAGTTGCAGAGGTGTCCCATGCACAATTCAGAGGGGACTGACCACAGGTGGCTCAAGGGACCAGGAGATGGCAAGGGGGCTAACAGGGCAGGGTCCCATGCAAAGCCCTATGGGAGAGAGATGAGGTTGTGCTTGGCCGCTGGTCCCTGAGGTGGGAGAGGAGTGGGGCAGACAAGGCACCTCTCATCCTGGCACTGACAGTGGGCATGATGAGTGGCAGTGCTGTGCACTGGGTCAGTAGCCTGGAATTGGCCAGTCCCAACCCTGTCCCGGGTGTCTTGGAGCCTGGTGATGCCCCCAGGGATATCCTGTGCCCCCTCCCCCCCAAGGGACTCCCACCTGCCCACAGGTCATGTGCACTAGGGAGCAGCACAGCCTGCCATGACCATGGCAGTGTGTCCCCTATGTGTTGCTATGTCCTCTCCTCTCCCGTCCTAGTGTTCCCAAATCTCCATGCCTCCTGTTCCCGGTCTCCTGTCTTTGTACCCTCATATGTCCCTGTGTCTCCATATTTCATATCCCTGTTTTCCCTGGTACCCATATTGCCTTTCTCCATTTATTCATGTTCCCCACCCCCAAATTCCTATCCCTATATCCTTGTATTCCCATGTCCTCATTTGCTTGTGGTCTGTATCTCCCCTCCCTGTCCTTCATCCTTGCGTCTCCTGTTCCCATGTCTCCCATCATCCTCTCCTAGTATGCCCGTGTACGCATGCATCCCCATGTCTCCCTGTGTCCCCACTTCATTGTGGTCCATGTCTCTGCCTCCCTATGTACCCATCTGCCAGTGCCTATGGCTTCTCCGTGCTTTCAGTTCCTTCTGGAGACAGAAGGGCCCCAGGCAGCAGCGATGATACTAGAGCCATATGCCTGGTAAGAGAATCTACAGGGAAAGATGATGAAGGGAACCCAGATGCCTGGGTTCTCTCAGAGCTGAAGGAGGGGCAAGAGGGCTGCCTGGATGGCACAAAGCATGGCAGGAGACCAGATGCCTGGGTCCCCTGGTAGCTCTGGGAGGGAACGACAGGTATGGGCTGTCATGTAAGGTGCAATGGGTTGGTGTGAGAGCCAGGAACACATCCTACCCGGGCTTCAAGGCACAGTCTTTGTGTGAAGAGCCCCTCCCCTAAAGAGGCTGGGGAGATCATAAATGGGCAGAGAGCCCCTACTGAAGACTCCCTAAGCACATTATCACACACACATACACACAAACTATGAGTCAAAGAGCCATCCCAGCTGGCTGAAAGAAGAAATACATAGACTAAGCCTCCACTGCCCTCCCTCCACATACAAAGACTGTTTTGACTCCAAGAGGGAAGGTTAGTAACCTCCACAGAGGAGGCAGCAGTGTCTGGAAATGCCCTCCTGCCTAAGGGCATCTGAATTTTGCTGAGGGAGCCATGAAGACCCATCTCTCCATGGAGGGCTTCATTAACATGAAACCTCTGTCACAGTACAGGATAGGGAGAGTGTGGGGTTTGTTACCCTGAGCTGAAGTGATGCACACCCCAGATGTGGAGTGAAAGCAGCTGAGCTGGAATCACAAAGAGGTTTCTATCTTTTAAAGAAAAAAAAAAAAAGAAAAAAAATCACTAAAAGCTTATTAAAAAAAATCAAACTGCAGAAACCATTTGCAGCTGTATTTCTGAGTGCTGCATACATGTTCCTCCTTCAGAAAACACTGAGTGAGGAGTGTCCTGTACACCCCTTCCTCTGAATGACACAGACATGCCCATCAAAACTTGTAAGCAGCTCTCCTCATGTTCCTCAAGCTCAGCTTACTATCTGCCTCACAAAGTCTCCTGTTACAAGTTCTTTCTTGTACTCCGTTCTCCCACATACTGCTTCTCTTCCATACTCACTTGGTATCTGCTGCAAGTATACCATCATCGCTGCTACAGGAGAGGGGGCACAGGGATACTAAGACACACCATCTGAAGGACACAAGCATAGTAGGATAGGGGATTGACAGGGGCACACAGGCACCTGTAGGACTCTGCACGGTGCAGGCCATAGAAGAGGGGTGCTTCCCAAGAGTTAATGAACCCCAGGTGCACCACAGACAGAGCCACTACACTGTGGGGTTGCTGAACCCTAGGGGCACAGCCTCTAACAGCCCTATGATTGACAAGTCCAGACAACCAGACAACGGAGAAGCGACACTGCAGACTCACATCATAAACATCTAGGTGCTGTGCAATTCCCCACAGAATGACCTGTTAATGGGCATATTATTACCAACTGAGCAGTGTTGTGGGCTGAGCACTAGGTAACCACCTGTTGATGTTCACACTGAGTAGAGCCATACAGCTTTTGTACATGTGTGGGCTGGCATTGTTTTGACTGGCTATAAAAGAGAGTAAGCCACATGGATTGGTGGGGACTCAGACTCACCATCAGCTGGCCTGCGGACTGAGGACCCACCCATCAGTGGGGAGGGGGAGCGGTGACCCATAAAGGGCAAGAGCAGTCGTCATATCGTGCGATTTAATTGTAGAGCTCTGATACGTATATGTATTTTCTGTTCTATTTCTAGCTTTACTATACTTTCAGCTTTGTTATAACCTCTTCTCTCTAATAAATTCTCATACTTGACAAATGATGATCTTTCGAGTTCAGTGCAGCTAATCCTGGAATCCGAAAGAATCCCGGATGCCCCTCTACTGGCACGTCACAGGGATATGGGGAGACAAGCAAGGGGAATGAGCATACAGGGATGAAGGCCATGAGGGAACACGAGTTCCCAGGGACACTGGTCTTTAGGGGACTGAAGCCTCATTGTGAACCAAACTCAGGGACTAGGGTTTTTCTGACACCAGATAAGGGATTTGTATGGTCAAAAACACGTGGGCATCAGAGTGAGCACACTTACCCACACATGCACACACCTGCCACAATGGGCACACATGCCTGTACACACAGTGAACATGTGTACACCCACAGGCGTCCAGTGCATGCACCCCAGCAGGCATCTGCACTACCTTCCACACAGTGTAAACGCATATGCTGCAGCATGTGCACAACACACAGTGCGCCCTCACACACACCAATGTGTGCCAACCCACGCATGCACTCTGCAGTGCATGCACACACACCTAACTCCTAACCCATGCAAGGCAGCACCTACGCACTCCTCGCTCACAAACTCCTCAATCATAGAATGTGCACAAGCACACTCAGCTCTCATCCCTCACTCAAAGAGATCCTAATGCACAGTTAACATTGCACATGTGTGCACATACTGTTGGCAAAAGCTGCGGGTTTTCAGTCTGGTGCCAAATGAATCAGCAGGCCATCTAAGGGATGGCCATGAAAAGCGTTCAGGACTCTCAGGGAAGTCACCCAGGGTGGAGGGGGCTAGATCCAAGAGAAGGCCATTGCTGGGCCTGTAGCTTCCCTTAAGGTGTTCAGGGCACCCTCTGCGGCACCCTCTTTTCTCCCTCCCCTCCTCAGGACAACAACTCTGGCCCCTACTCCTGGTTCTCTCTTGCATAGCCTGACGAGGAAAAGGCTGCCTCCCAGGAGGAAGGCACTAGTGCCTAGCAGCCAGGCCATGAATCCATGTTACCTGGGGCACAGCTACTCCTAGAGCCTATGAAAGACAGTCCCAGCACAATTCAGCAATTCAGACCTGCTGCCATGGTGCCTGAACCCCCCTGCCTGTTCTCACCCCTATCCTGTATCCTTCAGCCACATGATCATCATGGCGATGCCACTCCATAATCATCCGTCTCTGAGTTCCAACAAACCTTGGTGCGCTCCCATCACCATGGGGGGACAGCAGACGCACGCCTGAAGGAGGCCTTCTACTGCCCCTTCCTCCCTGGGCCTGAAAACAGAGCTACACTGCTCCTCCAGGGCCAGGGAAGAAGGTAGACTGAGGACCACAGGCTATGTTGCAAGGGCAGTGGGGAAGAGGGGAAAGGATCCATAGCCTAACACCCCCACGGTGCTGGTGGATGAGTAGTACTTTCTGGAGAATTTCTGCTATTCTGCATCCCTCTGCCCTCCGCTCCAGTGAGGTATTCAAGACTGCAGTAAAAACTACAGGCTGCAGAGTGGGTTTACACAGCAGCTAGGCACTCTAGTCCCATCGTAGGCATCTGCTGCAGTGCTAAGCCTGCAGAGACAGACTTATTGACTTAGTTAACGTCTATGCCCCATTACCAGGCCTAGAGCGTGTGTGATCTTACCGGGATGCATCCACATTCCTTTGGGGCTTGAATCTTCCCCACATGCCTTGTCCTGGATGGAAATGTCAACATGCCCCTAGACCTAGAGGGCCAAATGAAGTGAAGAGGAGCCAAGCCATGGCAAACAAGTCTTGAGGAGCTCGATTACTGGACTCAAAGTCCTTGACAGGCCTACAGAAATAGGCTGAGAGCAATCTCCTGAAAAATCAGCTAAGGACAAAAGCAAAATCTGGAACCTAGGATGGAATAATCCCAAGCAACAGGACAGGCTGGGGGCTGAATGGACAGAAAACAGCTTTGCAGGAAAGGTCCTGTAGGTCATGTGTCCAAGGTCAAGTTGGTCAAACTGCCCAAGTCAGCAGTTTGCACTGGAACTGTATTAGCAAGAGTGCAGCCGGTGGGTCATAGAAAGTGATTATTCTCCTGAGCGCTGAGAGACCACATCTAAAGTACTGTGTCCAGTTTTGGCCTGCCCAGTACAAGACAGACATTGACAAACTGAAGTGAGTCCAACAGAAGCCCCCAGGAAGATTAGAAGGTTAAGGCACAGGATGCACAAGGAGAGGTAAGAGAACTAGATTTGTTCGGCCTGGAGAACAGAAGGTTAAGGGGTGATCAAATAGCATTTTCCACAACTTAATGGCTACAGAAAAGACAGAGTCAGATTCAGGTGAACAAGTAAAATATGAGAAGCAACCAGCACAAGTTGCACTATGGGAAATGCAAACCAGAGAGAAAGAAAACAATTTATCAGTTCGAGTAGATAAGAAAACATACCCAGAGAGGCTGTGAAATCCTCATCTTTGGGGACACAGAAAATTAAACCAGATGTGGCCTTGAGCAACCTGCTCCAGCTTTGGGCAGGAAGACCTCCAGAAGTCTCTTCCAATCTCAGTTAGTCTCTGATTCTAACCCTCAAGTTGTAGAACTTCCTTGAATGTTTACAGGTGAAAGTCCCCAGGCTCCCAAACCCCTTGGTCTGTGCAATTTATGTCTTCTTCCCCCCTCCCCCCAATTTCTAGCACCAGGGGAAGCAGAGGTCTCATCCTCAACATAGATTCAAAAACAAACTCAAAAGTTTTGATTCCAAACCCTAGCCAATGGAGTCAATGAGATGCAATCCCAACCCCTGCCAAAAATTCCTGCAGGACCCAATCAAAATTACATGAGAAATGTTTTTAAAAAGACAGATCGAAAACATTTATTCTGCCTCTGAAGCTCATTTGCCCAATACGGAAATATAGAGGTAAAATGACTTGTGCATGAGCAAAAGATCTTAGCAGGAGCATCACAGCTAAGCTTTATCTTCCAGTCACTACACCTTTTTTTGCATGTCACTCCCAACATAAAAAAGCCCTAAAACCAGCTGGAAGATGACAACATTTAGTGACAACTGTTGATTTGATAGTATCTTTATTACACAATGTCTTATCACACAGAACATTTAAAAGATAACTCGGAGGGAAGAAAGGCTACATTTACAGCTTGGGAGGTCCTGTCAGCCTCCAGCCCTCCTTTTTACCTATTTTCATTAAAGCAGCTGTAAGTCCAAAACCCAAACATGCAGTGGTTCCGGTCATGTAACTGTGAGCTGGAAAAACCAAACCAAAAAAGATCTATTAGGGCAATAGTACTATACAGTACATCTTGACAGACTCTGGAATTTGGTCACTTGACTATGAGTAATGTTGGCTGCTGACAGAAATGTAAAAAGTATATTTCTTTTACTTACATTTACTCATGGTTTTAGTCTACAGTTTGAAACATGAAAGTTCTATACTCCACCACCCCACCTCCTTACATAAGCAATCTTAAATTGCTTATTTCAGTGACTAAAATAACCATCACCGCTTCAAACTCCCATCAGCTCAGCAATTAGGAAAAGTAAAGATAAATTCTATTTTGCTACAATTTAAACTTAAAAAACCCTCTAACCTTTAACATCTGATCCTGAAAAAGCCCAGAGAGAAGAGCTGTCTAAATACCTGCAGGACCTAATCTAGCTTGATGACGTCATATGAGCAACGTACAAAGCAGAAGGATATAGCTTGTCCCTCAGAGCGCATGATGAATTCACAAGGCAGATGTTAGACTATCTTTCCCTTGCAAAATAAATCACGTTTGTTGCCAAGAAAACAAGGATTCCTACTATTATTTCAAGTTATAAGTGGTAATTACAACTGGCAGTGCTGGGTCACCTCTCTTTTTATTCTGTACATCATCTTGATGCTATCTCTGGTCTCCTACTCTAGCAGTATTTATTTTAGCAGACCTGTATTAGTACAGTGGAGCACCTATGAAATTAGCATGAAAGAAGATTCACATAATATGATGAATCTTTACCAAACAGGCCTGACATCAAGACTGTTTTATTTTTCTGGTAGAAAGGTTTTAAACTCGGACATGGCTCCTTTCATTGCCCATTACAGGCACTTTTATATGGCTGTACTACATATTTTATTATATAATATTAGCACTATGGCACATGAATTTTTGAGTACATGATAACGATATTCAGTGAATATAACCTAAAGTATCCAAACAGTCGAAGAGCTAAATCCCCTGCATATGAAGATTTAATCAGCAGGTAACTTTGCAGCATTTAAAGGTGTTAAGAATACTTTGAGAGTAGGAATATTTTCACTCCTATATTTATCCAAATTTACCTCTTGCACCTAAGACAGCTCCTGTTGCACAGCCTCCTATGAAATAATTCAAAGGATCCTCTGGTTCCTCTCGGATTTGAGCACTGAGGCAGGTAGTCAAGCCAAACACTGCTCCTAGCGTAGCTGTAAAAAAAAAACAAAAAAAAAGGTAAAAAGACAAAATCCTTCAAGGAACTGAGAATTACATATGAAGAAAATACTTAAGAAGCATGGTGCTGTACAGTAGTTCCTCTGAGAGAGCAGACAAAGGAAACTGAAGCATTTAGATCTGCTTTCAAGTACCTATGGGCATCATATCCTAGCCCCTATGATTAGACTAAGCATTGTGCAAGTATTATTAGATTGTTTCTGGTACCTCCTCTAGGTCCAGAAGTAGTGCAGCCACCTTTGTGCAGTGTAGATCCTGCACAAGTAGGTTCCTTGGGCCTTTTGCTGATTCTGCACAAACCCTGCTATGAGTCCCAGGACACAAGGAAAATGTGTTTGAATGCCTACAGACAAAGGCCACCCTGCCCAGCTGGCTTATTAGCTCAAACTTAGTAACAGCCCTTCCAGATCAGGCAATGTGAGCAGTCCCCAAAATGTCAGGGGATAAGTGGAGAAAAGGAGCAGGTTTCTCTGCAGCACATTCTCCCAGGACGTAGGAGATAGCAGAGCTGTGGGAACGCACCACAGGAGTTCTCTGCTGAAACGCACTCATCAGTCCCTCTGAATCCAACCTCACAAGGAATCTGGCAGAGAAACTCAGATGGCTCCGCATTCCTTAAGGGAGTTTGTTGCCACAATTTGCTCCCCACTTGCCTGGGGCTTGCAATTATTCTGACTAATAGAAAACTGACTGATTTTGCAAATAAATCATTAAGCAACTGCAAAGTGGCATTGTCTTGTCAACAGAATTACATGTCCCATCCCCTCAGACTCTACATCTGTGTCACTGCAAACTTTGGCAGATAGCTGTTAAGCAAACACACAGAATACTTTTTTTTGTTTGGAATATAGCTTCTTGGTCAGAAATGTGAAGTTGGCTACTGGGTGCCATCTCCAGATTTGAATACATCTCTCTTGGGAACAATGCACTGACTTAAAAATGTTTAGAATAAAAATCCCAGCCTGTAGAATGATGAATCAACTATTAAATCCATGTTGCAAAGCTATGCAGCTTTTCATCAGACAATATAATCATGCTGATCCTAAAATCAACTAAAAAGAACACTAAAGAAAAAAACTTACAGACCAAGCACTGCACTTCAACTTCCTTGCTTTCACTGTTTTGGACCAAGGACTCAAATTACTCTGCAGTTTTGTTTTTTTTTTGTCCTCCTGTTTTTCAACATATGGCTTCAGCCCATGAGATCTGGCCTCCTTAACAGCGCGCAGAATAACCTCTTTATCAGGAGTGGAAACTGGTGAGAGTATTCAGTATGTTGACTTAGGAATATCAAAATAATAACCAGTTACATTATCTGCTCCATTATAATGACCTTTTATGGCTCGAAACAATACATGAGATTCCAGCTCCTGTTTTAGAGTTGAACTACTCAAAAATGCAGATCTGGACTGCTTATGAATCAGTTCCTTGTTCAGAGCACTAGTGGAGGGGGAGAGACAGAGCTGACATAAGGCATCAAATGAAAAACCAAGACGAGTTTAGTGAGAAGAAAGTGCACTTGCACAGAAGAGGGATATACCTAATGGATATACACCTCCGGCTGGAATAGCTCCCTCAGTTCCCTGTGCACAACGGGGAAAAAAAAATTCCTTTCACAATCAAAAGCATTGCATTCACGCTCTAGAAATGGAAACTGTGATTTCCTAAAGCGCGATGCCTAAACTACCTGAAGCAGAAAGCTAAGACGTGTTTGCTTCTGTTAGCTTTATCCAAGAACTGCTTATTTTGTATTTCTGTTGTAAACAAATACACAAAAAATGAAAATATGTACTTTCTACTCTAGATTGAAAGAAATGTGTTATCAGCTTTAAATAAAGAAAATGATATGTAACCTTATATTGCTCCTGAAGCATTCAACACGGGGGTAGGAGACTGACCCAGATGTATCTTCAGCCTAACCTGAGATGGCTGTTCTTTTGTCCCAAGCATTTAATCCAGAAGCTTATTCTGCCATCACCCATGTAATCAGCAGTATTACATTAGCCAGCAGAAAATATTATCCACATGTAAACAACGATTTGATATATAAATAAGCAGCAGAAGAGAATGCAGCAAGAGGAAATATCAACTCTATTGCACTGCACTTGCAGGTTTCAAGTCATGTTACCATTTTGGTTCTAGACTTCCACCCTTAAAATAACTATATGCCTTGGAAGTACAGGCTAGAAGTAAATTGATAACAAACACAAAGTCAATTGTAAAACTAAACTCAGAACTAAAAGGTCTTACTTGAAGCTATCCTTGCTCTGGCAGATCACGGTGGACCAATAAATTTAAAAGCATCCCATTCATTCAGCAACATTAACGCTTACTCAAGACGGACACCCAACGGCTGAAAGAATCCCAGTCCCCTTACCCATCGTAATACTGTCTGTGGCTGCCATCTGTAAAGCAGTAAGTGCTGAGTTGGGCTGAAGCAAAATAATGCGATAGGCTGACCCAACCAAACCTACAACAAAGAAACACTTTTCGTGAGCAGCAAGTTAAAGTATTTCAGGAAACCCACAGTGAGCGCAGGACCGCCAGCACAAACCACCCACTGCCTCTCCAGACCCCTGGCAGCCGGCAGGGCAGCACTAATCTACTTACAAAATTACAGTCAGCTTCCACGTCTACTGCTTCTTTCTAAGCACGAGGAGGTAAAAAAATGAAAGGGGAAGAAGTAGTATTCGCCTCGGGTGTCAAGGTGCGGCTACACCGTCAATGCCGCCGCTTCTCTCACAGGCAGCGCTAAAGGGGAGGCAAA